TTACAAATATTTATTATCAAATATTTAAATTATTTCCATGCACATTTATTTCAACTTAAAACATACACAAATTCCTACAAGTATAAAATTCACAAAATAACTATCATTTCATTAAAATATAATTAAAATTCAAAAACACCACTTAAAATATAAATGAGCACATACATTAAATTAATAAAAATTACTTACAATCCTAATACTTTAAAACTAAATCATTGCTAATAACATTTTCCCAATAATACCAAATTCCTTTCCACCTTACATTTCCAACAATGCATAAAAATAATTAAAAATACTAAATTACCTAATCTCCTTCAGAATCTTTATTACGTGGCGGATAAACTTTTCTTCATTCTCTTTCAGAATCTTTAAAATCATACTTATCTTCAAAGCAAGATACCAGGTAAAATAAATAAAACATAATAAAACATGTTTATTTCTCTCTCACACAACCTTAAAAAACATTTCTTTACTATCCTTTTCAATACCACTAATACCCATTTCGAATTCACTTTACTTACGGCCATGGGATCCAAAAATTCACAAACACTATTTCACACAACACAGAATAAAGCCAAATACAAAGTTTCCAGATTTTTCCCGATTTCCCCCCTTTTCCGATTAAAGAACCGTAATTCGTCCATTAATATCACATGACATATCCCATGATCTCTCATTTCCCCCACACAAAATAATGCGTAATCGGAACTCTCAGTACTGCTCACATTATTACCAAAGTCCCAGGTAGTAACCTTTATCGCCTCCAAAATGTCGCCAAAAGTAGCCAAATCCCGTATGCACCGGATACTAGGATTAAGCCCTTAAACGTATACCAAATTCCTACAAACATAAAAATTCACAAAATAACTATCATTTAATTCAAATCACTAAACCATGTACACGTCGACTTATTTTTACTTAAAAAAACATCCCAGAATTGCACAAAAATGGCATTGCGCACACTCTTCACTATATCCATGTACACTGCTTTTTTCTCATAAATTAGAAAAATTTCACGAAATGCATAACAATTTTCTGAATCTTTAAAACCCGGTAAAAAAGAACATATATGAAATTACCTGATCGCGAAAAATACATACCCTTTCCAAATATGAACATTTCCCCGTATAAAATAAATAAAATATCCAAAAACTTTTACCTCACATTATCTATTATTACAAACTTCACTAACTAATTCATACCGCAAACATTACAAAATGGTTACAAATACTTAGTGTCAAATATTTAAATTATTTCCATGCACGTTTTTACTTCCACCTTACATTTAGAACAATGCATAAAAATAATATCCTCAAATAATTAAAAATACTAACTTACCTATTCTTCTTCAGAATCTTGATTACGTGTCCGATAAACTTTTCTTATTTCTGTTTCAGGATCTTTTAAAATCATACTTATAGTTCACAGCAAGGTACCAGGTTAAAATAAATAAATTAATAAAACATCTTTACTTCTATCTCGCACACCTTAAAGAAACACTTATTACTACCCCTTTCAATCCCACTAATATTTCGAATTCACTTTAGTTAGGGCCATGGGATCCAAAAAATTAACGAACACACTGTTTCACACAACACAGAATAAAACCAAATACAAAATTTCCAGATTTTTTCCCGATTTCCCCCCTTTTTCCGATTAAAGAACCGTAATCCGTCCATTAATATCACATGACATATCCCATGATCTCTCATTTCCCTCACACAAAATAATGCGTAATCGGAACTGAGTACTGCTCACATTATTACCAAAGTCCCAGGTAGTAACCTTTATCGCCTCCAAAATGTCGCCAAACTACCAGTTACCATATTCTAAAGATCAGCCCTAGCTTGTTCAATATATCATTGCACTGCTAATCTACACTTCATCAATCATTGGTAATCTACATAGCATCAAATTAATTTCTGTTTATTTAGATATAGTGATTTATTATCTCCTCATTTAGTGATTGTGTATTATTTAATTATCTATCTTTACATTAAAGGAAACTCTTCCTGAAGTTAAATTGTATTTGCTGTGCAAACAGCACTTTTTACAGTTCTCACTCTGAATACTTTTCTTCAGTTCCGAAACCGTCGTAAATTATATTGTTGTTCTCATCCTTTTTTCATTTGGACCTCTCTATACTATATATTTAATTCATAATCAGCGTCTATCACATATAACACATAAGGGGTGCACAGCACGGACATGCATTATGAAGCATCTTATCTACCATTAAATAATGATAAACCTGCTTTGCATGTAAAGTGGTTCACGTTTGTTTTCGGACACATGTGTTTTTCAGATTTATTTGCAGTATCACTTAATAAATATTAGCGAAATTATTTTACTTTTTTTATATACATTATTTATCAACTTTTTTAAAACTTACTTGTTCTGAAAAAAGTTATTCAAGACGTTTGGGGGAAAAAAAAAACATTTTTATACAAAAAATTCTGAAAATGAACTTTTCATTTTCGTAAGTTCATTTTCAGAATTTATATATTCAGAACGTTTAATTTTTTATTTAACTGTTCATTGAAAGTGTCGGAAAGTATTCCGACACTTCAATAAACAGTTCATATTTAATAAATGAGTGGAAATAATGGGACGTTCAATATTTCGTTGGATATCGTTTAGGTAACACTGCTCTTTTCATGAGCCTTGGTATGTATGTACAGTACATGTTTCATAAAACTTTAGTCCGGAGAATATGCAGAAGTTTTAATACCTTCGGTATTCTTCTATAATAATTACAAGCGAACAACAGTCTGTATGTTAATGATCGTTAATCTGATAAACTTCAGTGAAATTTGCATTCCACGTTTTCCTGCTGATGCTTTTTAGTTTTCTTTAAGAATATTTATATACTTATATTAATCAATACTATTTTCGATTCAAGCTACATTTCCTATTTCAAAGTTAGCGAAACATTTCCAAATCTCAAACCCCGTGTCTAATTATAGGCTTTTAATTCAATTCTTAATTTGTTCTATTGGATCCAAATATATTAAATTTGGAATTTTCTTCAAATATAACAATGTTTCAGTATGATAAATCTTTGCGGACGCCAGGTATATTTTCCTTGTTTTCTTGTTTACGAAGAATTTTCTTCTTACTTGACTGCCCATTGTATCCGTGTGCCCTAAATGACTCTTCTAAAAACTTCAGGGTTACCTTTTATAAAAACATCATTGTTCTAAATGTGCTAAAAGTTTTAAAGTCGTTTTAGGCCTATTTTGATCTTTCTCATAATAAATCTGCATTTCTTTGGTATTAACTTGGAATGTGAGCCAGACTTCAGTGCACATTCTCCACGCAATTTCTATTTTTTTTATTTTATTTATTTATTAAACGAACGATCGATAAATGCTTTACATTAAGACTATTTTGGATATTTTTAATAAATATACCAACTTTTTGAATTTTTAAATATCTAACTGTATTGATAATAAACTTGTAGCATGTTGTCATGTTCACTTCAGATGTAGAAGAAGTGTTATATATTTTGATAAACAGGTAAAAGTTTCTAAATGCAGACGATTGCTGCTTTGATGTATTTTCATAAACATTATAACAAGACACAGTGTGTATCAAACCATTTTCACAAAACTTTGGAGTTTCTGAATTATTATGTTAGTTACTGGTTTGCACTTTTGCACAAATTATTTTATTACCAAGCATATCCACTAAATGGCCCAGTGCTGGTTTTAAGATAACCCTTTTACAAATGTATATTTAAAATGCTACAGCATACTGTATTAAAGGCAAATGAGTATTTGACACAGAAACAATTTAAACAATGCAATCTACAAATCATTTTGCTAACCATGAAATGTACATTGCCAGTTTGGTATTACATTTTTTGCTTTCTATCTAGTTTTACGTGTGACTTGGTTGCGTTAAAGCAATTATTGTTGGCAGTATCAAGTACCTCGTAATGCACTTAAGCTTTATATTTTCTGTGTATAGGGAAAACTTTCATTTTTAATATGAACTTTGTAAAGTGTTCCAAATGTATAATATTCTACCCTTTTAAATTTCAACCATGCAATTTTAGAAAAAGTCGCCCATGACAACAAGGATTATTCGAGTGAACGTGTTGTAAATGAGGATCAGAACACAGTTTAAACTCTTTTTTGCGCTGTCGTAGTGATCGCATTTTGATAAAGGTTCACTTCTTAACCTAAAATTTTAAAAAGTGAAATGTGCCTCCCAGACGGTATACAGGCCAAGAGAGCGTAGTGAGTTTTGAAAAGCCGGGGTTCGAATAACAGACAAGGCATAGATGTTTGTAAATTAATAGTGTCTTTGCAACATGGGGACACTTTAAATGTGTGTCGAGCCTTAAGTCCTCTTTAGAAGTTGGCTGTAAGGAAAAAGAGGTAAGAGACCCTAGGACCTGCCCCCCCCCCGAAGTGTTCTCCATCAGAATAGGGGGCGGAACTGAGCGACTCTTGCCAACGAGAGGCGCAAACTTGGACTTACCTGTGTATAAACCCACGATGAGTTTCGTGGGTTTCTTCTAACTTTACTGCAAGGCAAGTGAGATAAGTCACAACACAACAGATAACAACAAAACTAAAATGTTACTCGATTAGAAGTTTATTTTATTATGTAACTCAAATAACAAATCTGACACTCATCTATGCCGAATTTTAATCCATATCTTTATGTTAATTTTCATGTCAGAGAGCAACATTACCATTATCAAGATTAAATTGTGGTATTGGAGTAGTCTCCACCAAACATAAGGAAATTACATTTGTTGTCATAGAATTGCATTATAGAAATTTTGGCATTATAAAGAACAGCATTAGGCGGTTATTTAATGCAATAAAGGTTACATTATTAATGACGTTATTAATTTTTCTTTTAATTCAATTTTTAACGTACATTGTAAAATTTGGTATTACAAATAACAGTATTAGGTGGTTATTTAATACAAAATAAATATTCCATTATTAATGATGTTATTATTCTTTTTCCTTTCAATTCAGCATGTGACTGTGGACAGAATGGAAATGTTCGCTCGAGGGTAAAACTAAAAAGTTGCAACTGCAATCAAGGATATCAAGAATATGACGGCCAGTGTAAAAGTAAGCTAAGCTGCACTCAGTTATATTTCACATACGATTTATGAATTTTGTTTTCAAAGCTTTTGAAATAGTTTGTCATAACAGCCAATTTTGAATAAGCATTTGATGCTCCAGGCATCCGTACACTCACAGGGGAAGATCATAGGAAAATTTAAAAAAAAATATTAATATACGCCATAGTTTCAAATAAATTACATTCTGTGAATATGTTGATTTAAGAATTCTAATAAATGTAATTCCTCAACTAATAGACGAACACCAAAAACTTTCTTACCAATGACGATTAACATTCTGCATTTAATTTGCAATAATCTATTTTAAAATTTAAGGCACTACAAACGAAATATTAACTAAGGAAAATTAATGCTGTTAAAATCAGTACTTTTTATATTAACGTTCCTGTACATACTTTAACAACTTAAAGTTAAAATATTTATCTACTTCGATTATAAGATGTTCATTTAATTTCATATATGGCTTATTTCTTCAAACGTAAAACCATTATGTCTTTTTCAAATGTTTTTGACCTCTATCTTCATTCTCAAATTTTTTAATTGGAACCTATTTCGAAATAAATTTCCTTTTTCATTTTTCTTCAAACCGAAATAAAGCAATAATTTTATGATTCATCTTCTTTTATTTTGAAAAATTCGCTGTACATTTCGTTACGATTTGAGATTATTATTAGTATAAGTGATACTTTACGAAGTGTCGTATTTTTAAAACATATTCTGTAGAAGCATTCTTTATTCTTACTGATTCTAAAAAAATATCTGATGCGGACATCGCCTGACTTCCTTGTACGGCCTATTAAATTATACAAAATGTTACTTGCATTTCATTTAAACTTATTTCCTCGAATTTCACTTAAGATATAAATGTCATTCAATCAATTCAGCACTGACTTCTGAAATCAGGCAACGGTAAAAAATAAATAATAATAATAATAATAAAAAAAAAAACTCAAAACACCATTCATGACAAATTGTCAAATACAGGGAAGCCTAAACCTAGAGTTAAAAACCGTTAAAAAACTGTTTTTACAATTAAAAACTAGAGTTTGAATTAATTAAAATTAGGCAGAAGGACAGATTTTTCGGTATACAAAAATTGGTCCGTTTGACCCAACTCGGACAGGTGACAGGTGACGGAGGACGGGGACGCCTGATGCTTAACAGAGGTAAAACAGGCATGTGTCCCACGCCCTCCCCTACCTAGAGGCAACAACTCCCTGGAGCCGCAAGAGGCCCGCCCCGGGAGTTTATTGAGATATTAAAATGAGTTTGTTCACGTGGCCAAACAGGGGCGTCTTAAGTGTACAATGGATACTTTTGTAGACATACTATTTGGCATCTTAATGGTAAGTCATACATGCAGCTTAAGCATACACATTTGAAATACATGACAAATAAACACACATAGAATAAACACAGTTCAACACAAAATATACAAAACGTAACAGTACACGATACAAAGTACACACAATACGACATTAAACAGCATAAAACATATATAAACATTACGTTAAACACACACACATTACATTAAACACATAAAACTACTTATATAAGAAAACGAAAAATACATGAGAGCACGGGAGAATCAAAACGCACTATGTTTAACATGAACACACATAGGCACATTACGTTTAACATGCGGAACAAAACGCTATGCGTTTGTCATACATGGGCAGTAGATATTTACATTGATGTTGATGCTTATTCGTACAGGAAGTTAAATTGTATTACAGTATTCATACATTATGTTCACAGTTATGCATGCGCAGGGTATAATACAGTTATACATGCACCGTTATGCATGCGTAGTTATACAGTTATATAATATTGAAAAGTACAGTTATACGTGCGGAGTAACATTACATGGTACTTAAACAGTCTGCTTAATTATACAGTACATTATTCATAAAGTATGCTGAATACATTATATTATTCATGCAGAATGCTTATTCGGGCCCCCCTCGACAAAAAGGACACTGACGTTGGGGCAGAAGCTGACTTAATTCACTGTGCTACTAAGTTTCAAATGTAAACAAATGGCTGTCTCATTAGGCTTAATTTAAACAACTTTTAAATTCTCGATAATTGTACAATTATTGCATACAGATTAATTAAAAGCCAAAAAACCTTACCCGGAACATAAAAAATTATAATTTAATCACTTTTAAAGGTTTCCCCAACTGGATACTAGCGGGAGCCGCTACACATTTCCTAAATCGCGTTGTAAAAGTACTACGTTGTAAGATAATTTTCGAGGTTGGAAACCATCTTTGGACCGAAAACACATTGTAAAGCTAGCGCGTTGCAGGAGGTATACCTGTAGTTATGTATTTCGATGCGAATAATTTATATACTTGGTCTAGGAGTCAATATTTATCTTACGATGGATTTATATATGCAGAAGGAAAAAATATTCACTATGTGTTAGAAAATTTGTATAAATATCTATAAAAAGATTACATACTACATGTTAATTTAGAATATGCAAAAGGGTTTCGCACGAGGGGAAAAATACCAGATGATACAAGAAAAGTTATTAACAACCCTGCATAATAAAATTCATTACATCGTTCATTATAAAAGTTTGAAACAGTATTTAGACCAATGTATCGTTGTGCAGTCCTATATTAATTCCACCGATATCTTTTACTGAACATTTATCTTAGAGTTATATATATATTCTGCCACCTGTTCGAAATGCAATGTGAAACAATTATTAATTTTAACATTCAATTATTAACTTTAACAAAATAAGAGATAATAAATGTCCATAAAAACCGCTGGTAACATTTAAAGAATTCAAATTTCTTATTTATATTTCTATATCGTCATAAACCTTCCTCAAAAGTAACATATTTCAGGAACATATTACAGATTTAAACTCAACAATTTTTTTCATATGCGCATTAGCTAACAGGTGATCTCTGCCAAAACGGTTTTTTAGTATATCAACAGCCACCGTATAGTTTTCACTAGGAAATGATAATCCACTGATAGCATTTAAAGCTAAACCTCCCAAAAGCGATTTTATAATAAAATTCCTCAACCGAGGTGAGACTTTCGTTTTGGTGCATAAAATTACGAAACTGATTTCAGAATTCAAGCCAAGAACGAAGGATCACCGTAATATTTAGTAATAGTTAATTTCGGCAATTTTAAAGTATTCATTTTAGAAGTTTTCAGCTTCGCAGATACGTTTTCCTCACTAGAAATTTTAGCTTCAACTTTACACGCGTTTTTCTTTATTTTTCCCTAAATTATACATTTAAAACTCATAATTCTTTCCTGATATTTCCTGCGCGGAAATTACTTCCGTTTTTAACTCCTCTTCCGTAGCGATGAATTTTTCAGTCTACGAATCATATTGTTTCAACAACTGTGATTCTTAAAGTAAGATTTCGAATAATTCTTTTAATCTTTCATCCGCTCATTCACCCTCTTTTAACAATACAGATTCTATTCCATTGATTAATTTAGTAGTTAAGCGACACGTCACCGTTGCCTTATACATAGCTACTATTTTACCATTAAATTCTAGCAATTATAATGAAACTGTTTATTCAACAACATTCCCGTTTAAATAGCGGCTTTCCAATAACTTTCTTCGGCCGTTATTCACCTCCATTCATCACGTCCATATCACCAAAAAAAAATGTAGTGACGAATTAAGCTGTACCGTTGCTGATACCTATATTAATTCCACTGAAATCATTTACTGTATACGGTTATATACAAGTCTTCTGCCACCTGGCAGGTATATGTTACAGCAGGGATGGGCAAACTACGGCCCGCGGGGCAAATCCGGCCCACCGGAAGGTTCTATCTGTCCCGCGGATAGAATTTTAATTTGCCCGTCTGAGGCAAATTAAAAGATATATATTATTTATATATTATATATCCATTTCCTTTTCTAGATTGTTTAAATATTATTTTTTCGTCCCTTTTTTCCAAAGGACTGATGATCTTTTTACTTTCTCTATTCTTGTTCTACAAAACAGAAATCAACGGAAATAGCAAGTACAGACAGCTTTCAATCGGTAAAAGGTTAAAAGCGGAAGTTCTTTGTTAGTTATAGCTGTAGATTGGCGCCAACAAGCGTTATTTCTTTCTGAAGGAGGAGACATATGGGAATCCAATGTAGGTGAATTTAACTTCACATATGGCAGACTGCGCATTTTAAGATGCAGCCAGCCACTTTTTCTTTTGGCGTGATTTCTAATATTATTGACTGCGTATGGAAAGATTACGGTCATATAACATGATTGTGAATAATGGTAAAATTATTAAAAGTATAGCGTAGCTAGTGCTTGTTTGGGTTATTCGTAAAATATTTCAACCCCAAAATGGGTATTAAAAACGAAACGTTGATTCAGAGTGCCGTGCTTTTAATGATAAATGACCCGGAAATATTTTTTACAGTTGTAAAAGGTAAAGCAGTGTGTCTCATCTGCAGCGAAGCTGTAACAGTTGTCAAAGAATATAACATTTTCCGTCATTTCACATCCAATCATACGAATTCCAGTTACGAGTTAGATTTACGAAATTAATTTCGGCATGAGTCAAAGACTGGCCGATTTAAATTTTGCTCTATAGCTTTGGATGAAATCATTGATATGAGTATCAATATAAATGAGTATCTGCTCAATTAGTATTATTTATAAGAGGTGTTGATGAGAACTTTGAAATTACCGAGGAAGTGGCGTGCATGCGTTCTTTAAAAGGAACTAGAACGGTATGTAATATTTTTCGTGAATTTAAGGCAACTTTGAAATTGCCTGTAAGAAATATATGCAATATTACTGACCGATGAAGCACCAAATATGACAGGAAAAAAAATCTGGATTTCTTGGAAGCTTTAATCAAAGCTATCCCGGGAACAATAATGTTTTTCTACATTGTGTTTTACATCAAGATGCTCTGCATGCAATCCTGAAGCATGTAAATACTATTCGATCTCGTGGGCTTACTCACAGGCAATTTCGAGATTTTCTTCAGTCCGTGAAATCTGAATACTCTGATGTACTGTATTACACGAAAGTAAGGTGGCTTAGTGCAGGATGTGTTTTGGAGCCAGTTTGGCAGCTGAAAGGCGATATTGTGTCGTTTTTCCATGAGAAACGATGTTCTGCGAAGTGCGAAATGTTAGAAGACGCAGAATGGCGTTCGGACTTTCCATTTTTCGCATATCTTCTTTGTCATATGAGCAACTTGAATGTCAAGATGCAACGGAAAAATCAATTTATCGACGATATCTAGGTCCATCTCGAAGTTTTTAAACTAAAACTTAATCTGTTTGCTGGACAGCTAGCTAAGAACGACTTGTCTCATTTTCCGATGTTAAATTCAATACCCTCAGTAAATGAAGAGAAGCTTAAGAATGATGAAGATGGCTTGGAAAAAACTGCATTTTGAGTTCGAACACTGATTTCAAGATTTTAGTGCCATTCAAACAGAATTGGATATTTTTACCATGCCTTTCAACGTAAATTGTGTAGCAATGAGGTCAGATTTGCAGCTTGAATTAACTGAGTTGCAATCATCATCTCAAGCAGTTGTTTCTAAATATGCCAAAGTTAGAGTTTAACAAATCATTATCGAAAGTAAGTTTCCCAAATTTAATGTCTCATGCTCATAAAATCAGTGCCAAAGTGTTTTCAACTATGAAACTTAGAAAGAATTATTTCAGAAGTAGACTGACAGATGAGCATTTGGTCTCGTTCCTTAGAATTGTAAGAATTATGTTAATTTTATTAAACAGTTAAATTGAAGTTAAAGTTCCTTTCCTGTCAAATTCTTAACTTCAACTTACTACTTCCGGCCAGAAAGTAGTTTTGGAATTACTCTGAATACTTATTGAGGAGGAGCGGTATTTAAACCGCGAAGTTCTACTTGCTGAGTTTCAGAGAATCAGGAGTTTCTGATTTGCAAGCGTCTGCCTTTTGGCTACTCTCTCTCTCAAAGCTGTTATTACGCTCGGCCGTACTCAGGCCCTTGATAGGCTTCGTAGTGAAGTACAGTTAAGGGACCAACTCGATTAGAATCTTGATAGGTTCGGCTATATCTCTTTAGTTAATCTCAGTTTTAGTTTATTTCTTAGTCTCTTAAGTTCAAGCCCAAGTGTCGGCTTTTATTGTACACTGCAAGACGAAGTTTTGTTAAATCTTATTGGAATAATAAAGGCTTAGTTACCCTTCCATCTTGTTGTTTCTTGTCAACACAAACTTAAGCGATTATTCGCTAATTAGTTCTTAAGGTTACTAACTTTTGACTGCAAATGCACAGTGGTAAACCTCACAGAATCAGCATATCTCACTTCGAACCCCAATATAAAGAACTTTTAAAAATAAAATCGCAATTTCATTCACCTCAACAACATATTTAAATTATAATAATTGTATATTGGTTTTAAAATATTAGAAAAATTTATCTTGGCCCGCCAAACTTTTTTTTTCCGATTTTTTGGCCCGCGACCGAAAACGTTTGCCCGTACCTGTATTATAGCATATTGGGTTTCTGCCACTTGCCACGTACGATGCATTACGCCATAAGTGGTAAGACACCCAGCATCTTCGCATGTCCTCTCCCTTCACGTTCAAAATAGAATGTGTGTAAATTCCTAAAAGAAAACTATTAACAATTCACGTTGCATAATTTCTAATTGAAAGTTAAATATTAACTAAAATTACTAATCATAAGAAAATTCGCTGAAATCATCTAAGTAAAACGATTTCGCCGTTAAAATATGTTAAATTCATTTATATGCAGTAATTTAAAAAGATGATAAATTTCGTGAATCTTTTCAAAAATTAAGATATACACTTCTTTCTTTAGAATGCGATTGTGGCAAAAAAGGAAAAAGTTGCAGTTTTGACAGTTCTGGAAATCAGAAATGTGAATGTGAGAAAGGCTATATTCAAAAAGGCAACAATTGCGAAGGTAAAGTATATTTCTCTTATATTTGCTATGTTGTCCGGAGTAAAATTTTATTCCCTATATTATACTAAAGATGGTTTAATCATACCGGAATATGTAAAAATTCCTAAAAGAGAGAAAAATGAAAATTCACTTTACATTGTTTATAATTAAATGTTAAATATTTTCTGAAATTGCTAATGAGAAATTAATTGGCTGAAATCATCTAATTAAAATGATTCTTTGTGTTAATTTTGTTTATATGCAGTAATTTTTAAAAAATAGATAATTTTGAGGAAACTTTCCAGAAACAATAATATACACTTCTTTCTTTAGAATGCGATTGCGGCAAAAAAGGAAAAAGTTGCAGTTTTGACAGTTCCGGAAGTCAGAAATGTGAATGTGAGACTGGCTATAGTCAAAAGGGCAAGAAATGTGAAAGTAAAGTCTATTTCTTTTATATCTGCTATGTAAAAACAGCGGATTAGAGTTATATTCCTTATACTGCAGACGAATGAATTGTACCGGAATTTGTGTAAAATACTAAAACAAAATTTCGATTCAGTTGGCATCGTTTGTAATTAACTGTTAAGTATTTTTTAAAATTACTTATGATAAGAGATTTTTCTGAAAACATCTAATTAAAAGGTTTCCTCGAGTTAAATTTATGTATATGCAGGAATTTAAAAAAATTGATAAATTTGGTGAAAATTTCCTGAAACTAAGATATACACATCTTTCTTTAGAATGTGAATGCGGCGAAAACGGAAAAAACTGCAGCTTTGACAGTTCCGGAAGTCAGAAATGTGAATGTGAGACTGGCTATAGTCAAAAAGCCAACAAATGTGAAAGTAAAATCTATTTTTCTTATGCTTAATATATTGTTCAAAATGTTCTTAATTACAATGATAACAAATGATCGAAAAATATGAGATTGTCTGTAGATTCATAAAAAGAAAAAATGAAAGGTTTACCTTGTATCGTTTGTAATGAAGTGTTAACTACTATTTAAAATTACTATCTTTAAGAGGAAAAAAAACAGTTGAAATCATTTATGAGGTTTACATTGATCTAGTGAACTTAATTAGTTCAAAATGCTTAATAGAAGCGAAGCGAATTACTTCTAGGTCTAAAAGTAACTGCAGAGTTAGATACAGATTTAGCTAAATCCTTTTAATACTTCATACAGATCTTAGAACATATATGCAGGTTCTTGAGATAAGAAATGAAACCGCAACTCGTAGTACTGTAAGTAAACAGTAACAGCCAATTTCAAATTACATCCGAACTACTACACAAAAGCTACGGAATTTAAATATACAGGAAATTTGGTACAATCCTCTACCGGCGTAACAAATTCTATAATGTCTGCAGCGATAGCGTAATAACGAATAATTCGAAATTATCAAATTTTCAAGAATTAAAGTAGCGTGGAAGTGCAGGCCACAACCGCTTGGTGTCTTATAATCCACAAACCACGGTTTATGCATTATCTAACTAACTTGCCTTCAGGTGAGGAAAGGGAAAGTAGAAGTTACAGTAAATTATTAGAAGAAACCGGTTATTTAAAAAATAATAACTGTTCGTCTTTGTCTACCAGATCTCATTTCCTATAGACATTGCAAAGATTTTAAATTCTAAATCAAGACATGATCCCTAACGTTTACAAACATTAGTTTAAAGTTCTAAAACAAAATTTGATTTTTGACAAAAGATCAAGTTTTAAAGTAGGCAATATCATGTAATAAATACATTTTATTGACTCTTAACTCCTTCCAGGCATCTGAAAGGAAATGTATTTTAGCGGAACACATATTCAAATGACAATGCGCTTCAATTTGCCATTTCACCATCATCAAAATCGTTTTACACTATGCGTTTTCTCTTACCATCAAGTTCTTACTTGTGCTCTCTGATACTGCACTATATACAAGTACGTATGAACATGCACAAAAATTTCTGCAACTACCTCCTAATAGAAAACCTACTTATTAATCACCTATTATTGCATTATTAGGTGCGCAATGTTATGCTGGAATTAGTACAGTGAATTAAAAGTTAGACCCTAGATTAGTACTGTGTGGTAAATTAATACACTATTACTGATAAAACAAAATCATCATGGGACATACAGTGATATTGAGGAATCTTTGCACATTAGTATAAAAGCATCAATAAGATATTAGATGAATGTTTGTCCATAAAAAAGATTTGTTTGCGCTGGATCCCGCATAATCTTACAAACGCTCGAAAGAAAGCTCGTGTCGATTTGCGCAAAGAAATGCTGGAAAAATGCGTTCATGGTAAACCAAAGGCTGCATATAGGATTAGGATTAGGAACGGGGGACATGGGTACGATCCCTTTACCGTTATGGTTAATTGGTTTAGCGCCACGTCCTTCAATATCCAGAGCAAGGCCAGAAGAGGCCACACGTGAGACTCGTCGCCCAGACGCCCAGACCCAGCACCCTATTCATCCGGGTAGCAGTCCAGCCGACGAAAGTGCCCCCGAGGAATACTCTAAGCGAAAATGCCGGGTCCAGTATTAATTTGTTTCCAGGAATAAAACGTACAGTGCCAAACAAGGGCAGAATCTTTACATAGGTTAATATACAATTACATAGTTGATCACAATAAGATTATAGAATTATGACATTATAAATACCTGGAATTATCCGCCAAACAGTAGGTCTATTACAATAATATACATATGCGAAATTTGGTTAAGAGTAGTAACAATTTGTGCGAATTATAGTAGGCTACTCGTATTTGACAAATTACCTTTTAAGTATAAATCTAACCATTGCACTTATATATGTCATGTTGTTTAGAAAGGCTGCGTATAACATCTACACAGGCGGCGAATCATGGATGTATGCGTATGAGCCTGAAACAAAACAGCAGTCGACTGTATGGATCTTCCAGGAGAAGCCAAATCCAACAAAAGTTGTTCGCGGAGGAAACACATCGAAGCAAACAGTTGCCTAGTTGTTCAGCATTCCCGATCACGTGGCGACAGTGGCGTTACAGCAAAGCACGACGACCGATCCCTAATGGTACACGAACATTTGTTTGCCAGAAACCAATGGAGAAATTTTAAAAAAGCAAAAGAATAGGCGAAGTTTTCTTCATCATGATAATGCAAGCCCTCACACACCAGCTCAAACAAAGGAACTTTTGACGGTCCAAACCATCGAATTGATGCGCCATCCGCCGTACAGCCCTGATTTGGCACCCAATGACATTTTATTTTATTCCTGCATGTCAGATATAAATTACGTGGTTAGTGATTTGCGACATCCTAAGGAGCGGTATGTTGTGAAGTTACCACAATCGGAGTCGAAAAAGTGCTTGGAAAATTGGTTCAAACGCATGCAAAAAGTTTTGATATTAATGCAGAATATTTTGAAAAACAACAAAACCAATTTCTACCATAAACATTTGTTTCTCATTATTAAGTCCGAAATATAAACAGCAACTGTCGTATAGTTTTTAAAATATTCATAAAACTGGTGATATTTTTCTGAAACTAATAAATGTACTTCTTTCTTTAGAATGTGATTGTGGGGAAAAAGGAACATCTTGCAGCTTTGAAGCTTCTGGAAATCAGAAATGTGGATGTCAATCGAGCTATAGTCAAAAAGACAACAAATGTGAAAGTAAAATCGATTTTTTTATCTTTACTATGCTGTACAAATCGCAGGATTATAATTTCATTTCTTATACAATACTAATAGATGTATGAAATATACCGCAAGTTGTGTAAAATCATAAAAGAAAAATAAATAATTCACTTTCTATCGTTTGTAATGAAATTGAAATATTATCTAAAATTTTTGCTGATGAGAGAAACATTTGAAATAATTTTATTAAAGAAACTGGTCATGTTAAATTCAGTTATATACTATATGTTTCAAAAAACTGATTCAAGTAGTGATACCTTTCTGAAACTAATATATGCCCTTTTTTTTTTTTCTTTAGAATGTGATTGCGGGGAAAAAGCGAAATCTTGCAGCTTTGACGCTTCCGGAAATCAGAAATGTAAATGTCAGCCTGGCCATAGTCAAAAAGACAATAAATGTGAAAGTAAGATCTATTTATTATATTGATTTATATTCAAAAGAGGAAGAGAATTTTTTTTCCTTCACTATTCCAATATGTATAGTACACACAGTGTATAACAGTTGATTATCACAATCTTATGCTCTGACAAAACATAGCAAAATTAAATATTTTCTGGAACTTTCTCGAAATCAAAAAGAGATATTTATTTATTTAATGTTAAATGCACGTGCTTTGTATTTTTAATTTTCCAGCTTAGCTTTCCTTTAATATTCATCACGCGCTGCATTCCGCGGAGGAAAAAACAATTTAATTTATAATTCAACTAACATTAGCTATTTAAATACGAAATCCGTAACAATATTAATTATTTCTGATATCATTCACTTCAGTGTACAATAAACAGTGCTTACCTGAAAATGTAGCTCAAACGATGTATTCTGTGAACAGAACTAAAAAAATGGTCGCGAAAATCCCTACGACAAACAAACGCTATGCAGACAGCAAACTCTTTCGTCAGTCTCTAAATACTGTAGAATGTGAATCCAAACACCACAGAATATAGTTCAATGATTTCGAAGTACCACATCAATAAAAATATGCTAAAAAGTGTTAATATTTTTAATAAAAAATAACTAAAATTGCAAGCTATCAGTATAAAAGAATCATTTATTTAGAAAGGTTTACTGAAACACATAGCAACGAATCGGGGAGAGGGAGATCAGCGCTCAAGAATACCTCCCATTAAAGACGAATTACGCGAGCAAGGTTAAGAAAGGTCAGGTTGGGGAATATTGCGAATTTCTTGTCGTCACATTAAACGGTTGCTGACACGTGTATGTGACATCCGTACGACATTCACATCCGCATCACAATGCGACATTTCTGCGACATTGCATCGTAATTACAAATGTAATGTGAAGAAAATGCAACATTGAGAGGTCACTGAAACGTCATAGCAACTGTGCTGCTGTACGGGTATCACAAACAATAAAATTTTTATTTCAAATAAAAATGCAAAATTAAATTGATTTTCAATATTTAGAAGCTATAAATAATATTTAAAACACGGAATTTATGCATAATAAAACGCATTAATTTTTAAATAAAATGTCAACAAAGTATCGGTTACCATAAATAACTTGTCCAGCAAAGGGTTTACCATAAGTCGTATCGTTCGCCAGAAAACAAAATCGCCAAAATCCGTGCAACCGTCTGCCAAAGTAGCACCGTGTTATCTTCTTGTTAATTATGTCCGCGTATTTTGTCCATTAAATTAATAAATTTCTCTACAGTTGTTATCAATAACACTACTCCTATAATTCGTAAATACAGCTACATCTTACATAAATAAATAAGTCACGGAACACTCAAGTTACTCGCCTTGAGCTCAAAGGAATAAATTTCCTAACATAAAAAATAATATTTTTGCCATTCACACAAATTCAGTTGTAAAGCAAAAAGTGCTGCCAGTAACAAAATTATCGTATAATTATAATGATGACATAGAATTAGATATTGTGAAAATAAATAAGGCCAGGAAAAAAGAAATACAAATATTAAATACATATCCAAAGCTATTTGGAGAATTACATTGTGTACAATGGTGGTTTTTTTCTACATAAATTTAATCGGTTTATTATTTCGAATTATTAAATTGCTGCTTTTATTTCTATGGACGGATTCTTCTTCATCAATGGCGAGACAGCCCAGGATGGGCCCTTGCCTTCCTCAGAATAGAATTCCAAGCTCTTCTATCCCTGGCCATGGACATCCAATTGGTTATTTTTTAAATTCTTAAGTCTGTTTCCAAACAGTCGCAACCACCTAAGTTTAGGTCTCCCTCTTTTTCGGGTGCCCAATGGTCTGGCGGAGAAGATCTGTTTAGTAACTCGACTATGGACGGAATTTCTTAGAATTTATAATCGATAGTTGTTTTAGAGAAATATCTTCAAATTTGTCATCTGATTCCGATTTTAGAACATAATTTTAGTACTTTATTTCACCTTTTGATATTATGTACAGAGATAAAGTTGCAAAATTATATTTAACATATATTTCTTGGTTCTAGTACATTATTTTCTTTAAAATGAATTAGCATTTCAGAAAAACATGTGACTATGTTACATATTGCTCAAAATGTTGAACAAAAATTAAACTTTGTCAAGGCGGTAAGAAAAAAAAAAAGTTTTAATTTGAAAACGTGAACAGAGTCTGAAATTATTATTAAAATTGTGCTTAAAACGGAACGTTTGGTTATGTGATATAAAATTACTACTGTATCTAATAAAGATGCATGTTGCAATAAAATACACTTTCAATTCTGTTACAGCAAACCGTGAACTAAGAATAATTAGTTAAACATTTCTTAGGATACAGCTTGCAGTGCACAGAATGCTGGTAAAATTAAACGCAAAACTACAAAATATGCTAGAAATGCATTTATTAAAGTTCAGACATTCCATTACGTAATAACGAATAAAATCAAAAAGCTAGATTTTTCAATGTTTTTAAGTATTTCTAGTTCTAGTTCCCATCTTTGAAATTTTAAAATTCCCTGTATAAGAAATTGATTTTCAAAAACCAATATTGAAAATTTTTGGTAGAATAGAAAACCACTTGAATACGTTTTGTTGGCTTGAGAAATACTTAAAATATCACCCTTTTTGACCATTTGTTGGATATCTTGGTGTGGCCAATGTGTAGAATCTTTGACATGATATCGCCATTGAGACCACTAACTTAATATTTTTAATACACTGGTGTGCAAACCTTAAGCAACAGCAGGGTTTTTTGCCATAACTCCACGAGAAATCAACTGAGAGACATGAAATGCAGAAATGAAGGAGAGTATTATGTACGTAAAAGGATGACGAAAGCATCGAAACTGGAAAAGGAATACAATGCATACGGTACGGAATCAAGCAAACACAAGCTTTATTGAACGCATAGTATCGTGACTCATGATTGTTTATCCAAGAGGAAGAACAACAAGCAGATGTTTCTTAATATGCGATAAGCCCTCCCCTCACTGTAATGGTTGCTGCGTACCGTCTCCGCATACTCAGAACCAGCTGGTTTGTTTGAGTTGTTGGGTGATCTCCGGAGGATGTAAGCGTGCTGTAGTGCATCTCCCCAAAGCATCCCACACATGTTCGATTGGGATTTCAATCTGGGGAGTACGCTGGCCAATCCATTCGATTAATATCTTCACTTTTCAGAAGCTCCTCAACAGCAAGAGTCCGATGTGGCCGTTCATTGTCATCCATAAAAATTAAGTCTGGGCCAGTGGCACCTCGGAACAGACGCACATGGGGAAGGAGTACCTCTTCACAATAGTGATCCCCGGTTACAGACCCTCTGTCGATAACGTGGAGCTCAGTTCGCCCGTTCAGCATAATGCCTCCCCAGACAAGAACTCCAGGACCACCGTTACGGTGTCTTTCCTTGATGTTACTGGGATAAAACCGGGTCCCGACCCCTCTCCAAATCAAAACGCGTTGAGAATCGCTTCTGGTACTGAACCGACTCTCATCCGTAAAGAGGACACGACTCCATTGATCAGTTGTCCAGTTTTTGTGCTCTCTGCACCACTGTAAACGGTGGCGTCGGTGGCCAACTTTCAAAGGGAGGCAGCGTTCAGGAGGGCGGGCGAATAGACCCCCTTTGTTATGGCGTCTGGCCACAGTAAACCGCGACTGTTGTCGCCCGGTTGCTGTACGAGTTGCTGAGCATTGGCGCTTGCTGACTGCTGTCGGCATCTTTTCGCCTGCAGAACGATATATCGGTCATCCCCTGCAGTTGTCGTCCTCGGGCGGCCACCACCAACCTTTCTAACAGTGTGACTTTCTAACTTTTCTGTGATTTGGAACGCTTTCCAAGCGCGCGAAACGACGCTTTTGTTGATTCCGAACTCTGAAGTTACACTGGTGATAGTACGCCCCTCCTCCAGCTTTCCGAACATTCTTCCACGTGTGAGTTCGTCCAGGTGATTTCTTCTAGCCATATTTCACGAACTGACTGACTGGCACTTGCAGCGAATATGTAGAATTGCGTCTCCGTCCTTCGTTTATTCTACTGTTGAGCTGCGCGCCGCGACTACACGTGTTTTGTGTACGCTCACGTCGACCCTGAGTTTCTTTCCTGATATTTGCATACGCATGACGTTTCTACTTATTTAGGTGTTCATTGTACTGATCTCCAGACCTTCTTTACTGCAATTTCACGGCTATCTGCTAAATATTTACATTGTTGCTTTAGTTTTGCACACCAGTTTATATTTGCTATTTTCACCGTTTTCGTTTATGTATGAAATGCTCTGTGCGTGTCAAGACGTGGGTAGGGGATCGTAATGGAATGAATGCACAAGTCGTTAAAAAGTTAATCAAATTTACTCTTATCCTAAGAAATAAAACAAGATGCTGAAATTTCCTAAGAGATATTCGTACAATATCAAAATATCTCACTGTAGTTATATTTTGAACTACTAAAACGTTTAATAGAACTCAATTCAAAACAGAGAAAGCTAATCCGATCTCACACCGAATTCGTTCCAATAAACCACAGGTTCTCTCTGTTGTTAGATGCATTAATCTCTCTCTAAACCTGACTGCATGTTATAATTACACTAGTTTGAAATAAATGTCTCTAAATCTGTAAAGGTTTCACATTTGTGCTGCGACAGTTTTATTTAAATGTACGGTGTTTGTTTAATCAAATATTAAGTAATTTTCTACTGTAAAAAATATTTTTTATTCAATTCTTTCATAATGTTTTGAATACATATTTATTTCAGAATGTGATTGCGGGCAGGAAGGAACGTGTGAATTTGGTCAAGATGGAAAAAAATGTACATGTAATGCAAATTTTAAAGTAAATAGTAAATCTGGGAAATGCGAGGGTGAGTTTGATATGATTTTTATTCATGGAACTAATATTCCTCTCTGAAATTTTAAATCTTTCTAATAAGTTTATTAGTTATTTATTTTAATCTAGTTTATTAATGTCTTATATGTTGGGATATCTAGTAATTCATAAAAGCAAAACCTATGTTAGGTACATATTTTTAGCATAGAAGCTCTGAGTATGTATGCTAAAACAATTTACGCTTAACATAGGTTGTTGCTTCACGTTTATGATTTATTTAAGCCGTGTTTCACTTCTGTCTTGATATCCACGAAGTGTTTTAGCCTTTTAAGATATTTTATAAAATTATAAGTAAAATGTTTTCTAAAATTATAAGTAGTATCGTCTAAGCGGTGAAATTTCTGCACACTATTAATTGGATCCGGGGTCCAAGTCCAAGGACGGGCTGAGTGCATGGCTGTCTTCGTGCTTTTCTGAATGTTTAACGTGTATACATCCGAGTCCTATTAGAAAGTTATCCTATTAGTCCTATTAGTATTTTATTTCATCTTTTGATATTATATACAGAGGTAGTAAAAATTATATTTTAATACATATTTGTTGCCCACTAGTGGCCGTACTGTACAGTCGCTGAAAACTGGTAGTCGGTCTGAGTTTCGAAATTCGCGAACAGGTTGGCGTTTTCGTGGTTTTTCCTCATGTGCAACATGTTAATATGACCCAGTTTCCCTTAGAAAGTTATCCACGAAGGCATGTCTTCTTTCGTGGTAGTGCTGTAGGACGGAACACGTAAACAATGTACATTTACGGGTTTAAAGAGCCTAGTTTTCTTTAAACGGAATTAGCTTTTCAAAGATAAGATATTTCTTTTTTAATTACTGCACACAATATTAAACAAAAATCAAACATTACTTTGCCTAACCGGTAAGAAGAAAAACATTTTTGAGAAGGTGACAGATTGTGAATTATTAAAACTCGGCTTAAACGTAACGTTTACATTTGTGTTATAAAATTTAGTGTATCTAATGAAGATGTATACTAGAATAAAATATACTTTCAGTCCCATTACAGCAAAATGGTGAACGAGGAATAATTAGTAATGATACTTCTTGGGAGACAGCTTGCTGTGCGCACATGCTAATAATGATGAAGAAAATGAGCAAAATGTGTTAGAGGTGCACGTTTCAAAGTTTACACATGAAATTAAGCTCTCATTTTACATATTCTCGATGTCTACAATATTAGTCTCCAACGCTATATGAATTTATTTCCCTATAGTCACTTATATAGTCCGCCCATCATGCACATCATTTATTTTCTCGAAATTGGTCTAATTTAATTAACTGGTTCCTCAAGACAAGTTTAAAATGACATGAAAAATAGTTAATTTTGGATTGAAATACTGTCAATTTTTGCCATACGGGAATCTAATTTACTTTACTTTTGTTTTTTCATAACGAGTATGTTAAACTTTCCGAAATATTAGTTCAGGAAACAGGTTATCGTGCTAAAAATTAGATTTTGTTTTTTGTCGAAAATTAACTGTTTACTTCCTCGTACGAAATAAAAAGGAAGTATTGTAATCGCAAAAAATTTCGCGTATCATATTTCAAGGAAGATACCGATTTTATCGGCATCCAATCCAATTTAATAATGTTTTTGCGTGACATCCGCACGTAAGGATAGAATAAAGGACTCTTTTCCCCAAAATATTATAAAACTGATTTAAAATGAATTCTGAAGAGAATTTTTTGTAGCGCCTGTGCGTACGTATGCATAACTCAAAAACGAGTAGCCTCAGAACGTTGATATTTTGTATGTAGGACTGGTATAACATGTAGATGTGCACCTCCTATTTTGGTTGCAATCGGCCACACCTATAGTATATAAATACATGTATATATATATCCACTCTGTTACTCGACTCAGCGAGCTCAGTTTCTTTATTCTTATACGATTGTTAATTCTGCTTTTTTTGCTTTGAAAATGATTGAATTATGTTGTTCTTATCTTCCGGTTAAAGATTTTATGCCTTTAGTAAATCTGCATGCAATATTTGTAGAGTTATCAATTATTTAAAAGTTGTTTAAGTGCAGCTAAGCCTAATGAATTTTGCGAAGGCGGACATGTTTCTTTACATTTTAAACTTGGCAAAATAGTGGCTTTGTTGCCAATCTAGAGAAACTAAGCTTCGCAACAACAAAGATAACGCCTTCTTTTATTATTGCGAATTAAATCATGCTTTATCCATTCTGGAATTTATTTGAGGAAATAAGTGTTTCAGATTTACTTCGTAATTTGTACTGTAGAATATTTTGAGTTTTTATGTATTTTTGCCTTGTCGGAAAGTGAGAACTGAATTAATCGAATAAAAAATACTGAATCGTCTGTAAAAACTGTTTCTTTTTTGTTTTGTTCGGTTAATTTCTTTTATACATCGTTTTAGATTTATTATAGTACTTGAATAGAGCATGTGGTAACGATTAGATAATTCTTCAAATGATATAAATTTATATGCATTCTGAGTTATAATATGGACGAAATGTAACGCTGTTAAGTGAACCATAGCGCCAGAGTGTCGCTATGGTAAACAAATATAGTGAATTTTAAAGAGTGCATTTATTCTATTGCGGTTTATGCGCTATCGACGAAGTAGATTTAATCCAACATACTTTATTTTCTCACCTAAGTAATCTAAAAGTTTAATTTTTATCTTTAAATTCCCAACAGTAGATGTTTAGGCCAACCAAAAGTTTTTCAGCCCTTGATCCTTTCATTATTTCACGTATTATGTTTATTTTTTAACCATTTGAATCTGTTCTGTAATTAAGAAAGTTCGCTACGTAAGGTTTATACTTAAGCCTTAGGAGAAATATTGCCACTTTCTAGAAACCCGACTTCACTTAAGAGATTTTTTAGGATCGCCATTATTGTACCACACATAGCCAAACTGCCATCTCCGACACCTTAACTGCGGCTCGCGAGATCCTTTGCCATCTGAAATTCAACTTGTTTTGGACAAATATAGTTTACGTTTTAATACAAATGGAATTTTAAATAGAAATCATGCAATGCCACGTTTCTTTATTAATCGCTAATTTAATTTCTGATATAGAAAAATTTGATAGAAAATGTGAAATGAAAAATGATAGATGTGTAAAAATTTGATAGATTTCAAACTGTTCACATCTGGCTTATCATCAGAGTAATAAATACGTAAAAATAAAAATAATTACGTTTCAGGTAATTAATATTCCGGTAATTCTAATTTTTGAATGGGTAATTGTCATCGGAATACGCAAATATAAGAACCTGTCATCGGAATGCGCTAATGAAGAACCTGTTTCGCCTTGCAATCCGTACAGACCTCTTAGAATCTGTGAAAGAATTTCACAAGGATTTTATTCTTGGTTGACTGAAACTTCAGTCTGTTCTCAATTTTCTGCGGAACCCTTTCAAAATTATTTCCTTTCTCTAAGGAAGTCAGGTATTTTATGCCATTGCTTCAGAGATTTCGCAACTATTCATAATAATGTGCTTAACGAACACGTTTCCTACATGAAACTTTCATAATAATTCCTTGATAATCCTAGACAACAGTCATACTTTATAACTTATGGTTGGGCATGCTGAGATATTTGGAGTCATGAGAAGAATCAGTGTTCTGAGAACGATTTAAATTTTAGTGAAAATGTTAAAATTCCAATTTTATCAAATATTGTTATTCCAGGTAGATATCGTTCACCTTATTTATCAAATCTTCATATCAATAATGTTGCATCAAAAGAACACAAATGTCCCCCTTCAAAGTTTCTGTAAAAAAAGGCATATTGATATTGGTGAAAATGCCTTTAGTTTGTGATATTTGTTGGTATATTTTCCATTTTTCTTGTCTGATGAACTTCCATTTTTCCTACCTCGCACTAAGTTAGAGTCATTTTGCTGTACTAGGTAAGAAACACCTAGCGCTGCAAAATTAGAGTCGCCGGTAAATAGCACATTAGGTTGGAAGAATTACCCCCCTCCGGCATATCTAAACTTTTTCACCCCTTAGTACTGGCTATGAAGGTAGGAAAGGAAGGAGGGGCCAATCGACACTAGAAGTGAAGCACTGCTTTGAAGCTTGGGTCACCAGATGGGGTGTTCTTTGTTTACATTCAGAAGCTCGCTTGACAAGGATTCTGATAGTATTTCGACACACGACAGTTTCATACAAATCGAAAAAGGGACACTTTCCCTTTTTCGATTCCCTTTTTCGAAAGAAACATTCATAGTGTGATGGATAATAGCAATTTGTATAGTTTAGTGAAATTTACGCAAAAATCACATCTTGGTTAATTTTCGATAACTAACAACAGCGATTTTGATTATGAATTTGTTTTATAAAATTCTAAGCTGTTGAACTACAAAAATTTAGATTTTAAGAAAAATATTATGCTTAAAGAATGAAAAATACTTTACGGTACATTTAAAATTGTATACGTCTTTCGATACCCTTGATAGAGTATTCGCTACTTTTATTTTATTTTCCAAACGCCAAAATGTTTTAAATAAAACAAATTTTTTTAACATTCCATATATTATTGTTGCATATTATTGCAAAAACCATATATCTGCCTTTGACAAAATACATAAATATTCATTAAATTATTTATAAATGTATTTGAAATGAAGAATTTATTCACTTATAAACATCTGTGAAAGTACTGTGAAGAAATCTAATTATTAAATGTATCTAATTTATAATAATTATAAATGTTATCTAAATATATAATAACCTTAATATTGAATTGTAAACATAAATTGAATTGTTGACAAATACGTTATAAAACTATTTAAGCAAGAATTGTTCGTATTGGAAAGCAATCTGTTAAAAGGTATTGTAAAGCAAATGCTATGAGATGCGCACTTAAAGAACTTAATAAAGAGTTGTGGATTATGTATTGTTGAAATGAAGGGTAAAAAAAAACCGGTAAGTATAATTAAAAGAATTAATCCCCTTACATTTTATAATAACTCAGTTACGAGTTTTAA